CCCTGACACCCACAGCCTCTCACTAGTTCTGCACAGGGCACCAGCACACCCCCAACGTGCCCCTGCTCTGCCCCTAAGACCCTCCCACCTCATCCTTCACATTCCCCTGCCCTGCCATGCCCTCTCCGGTAAGGGGCTAGAGGGGGGACCCCTCTTCATTTAGATGGGGAGCCACGTTTCCCACTCTCTTCCCCATTTTCATGTACGTGATAGACACCGTGTGGGATCCAGCCCACAGTAAGCAGCATCACACTGCTCCTCAGTGGGGGAAGGACTCGATCCCTCACGGCCTATTAACAACAGGGGTTGTTTTCTCCCTGCTCTCACCTGGCAGGCATCTACTTTCCCGTCCAGGTAGCCAGCACACAGCATCCTGGGGGTGAGCTCACCAGAGTACATGCAGGAGCTGTTGCATTTCTTGGTGCTGATTAAGGGAACAATAGCTTTCTTCAGCATCTCACCAACAGGAACTGGATGTGAGGAAAACAAACAAGAGACAGTTTAACCTGCAGCCCTGGTGGCTAGATGCTGGGGTTTGCACTCAAGGCACAGTGGGACATGGAGCATTACAGACACACTCTATCTCCAGGGCTCTGGGTGTTGGGAGGAGGAGAGGGGTCATTGGAATAGCAGTGGGGATTGGGGGGATCAGCAGAGCTGTGGGTGTGTAAGGGGCCCCAGCCTGCAATAGCAGCAGGGGCTGCGGGTTGGGACTGAGGACTGCAGTAGGTTTGCAGATCAGAATTCAATACTCTCCTCTAGACTCAAACATCCCCTCGGTGAGATGCAGCCTTCGCCCGTCTTTGTTTTAAAAGGGAGCTAGGAGAGAGCTCTCCGTGCCTCCTGGAGCTGCTCACCGTGTTCAGGTCTGGTGTAGCCCCAGCCGGAGATCCAGCAGTGGGTGCCGTGGGGGAAATCCTGCTGGTACAGCGGTAAACACACGGACGGCATCTGGGGAGAGAGACACGTGTTAGAACAGCGCCAGCTGGGGATGCCCCTCCCCGCGCACAGCGCAAAGAAATCGAGAGCGGCTCCCAGGAGTGGGGAGCAGGGGTGATCTAGTCCTGAGAAGTGCAAGCGAAACACCCTTGCAGCTCCGCTGCCTCTGGCTCCAGGGGCCGGATTCTCCAAAGAGCTCGGATCCCACTGTGACCTTTACAGCCAGATCCCAGCTCTTTACAAAATCTGCCCACTTATTTCACTGCATCCATGGGAGACAAGGTCTTGCGAGCGTTCTGTCCCATGTGCCATCAGCACAGGCCCCGGGACTTGCCTGGGGAATGTTTTCTCTCTGCTGCCCCCTCCCTTCACAGCTGGACCAACCCCCGCACTGGCACTGCCCCTGGGATCGGCACAGGCCACCGGCGTGGGAATCAGACCATTGGTGGGTGGCTCCCTTGTGAATGGAAGCCATGGGGCTGCTCTGGGGGGATCCTCTGTCCCCTGCAAGGGGGAGATGGCTGAAGAGAAGGGTCTCACCGGAGAAGTTCAAGGGCGCTGTGAGTTTCATCAGTGCGATGTCATAGTCGTGACTCCTGTCGTCATAGCGGGGGTGGTAGATGATTTTCTCCACCGCCGCCCCGGCCTGCTGTGGGACTGACACCTGGGCGATAATCCCGGCAAAGACCAGCCAGCTGGAGACCTCAGGCCGCCTGTAACTGAGCAGAGACATGGCCAACCTGTTCCTCTGGGGCTGCAGTATTGCTGGGGTGGCCAATTCCCCACTCCCTCCCCTGCTGGGGGAAGAGCCGGGCTCTGCGCTAGGCCCCCCGCCAAGGCCTCCGGCTCTGCCGTTCCCAGACTCACTTGTGCACGCAGTGAGCGGCTGTGACGATCCAGTCATGTGCCACCACGGAGCCTCCGCAGACGTGTCTGGAGTTGAGATACAGGCTGACCTGCCACGGCCAGCGTCCCAACGGGACTTCGCTTCCGCCCACGATCCGGGCTGCCCTGGAGCGCACGCCGCACTCTGCAAAGGGGGAGACACGTGAACCCGGTGCCCCCAAACACTACCTGAGAGTGGGGAAGGGATGGGCAGCAAAGGGTGTCCGAGAAACCCGGCCCTCCCCAGGAGCTGAGCGGAGCTTTGCCTTGGGGCCCAAGCAGGGCCGGCTCCAGGCACCAGCCGACCAAGCACATGCTTGGGGCAGCACCTGAGAAGGGGTGGCCAATGTTGGGGTTGCGGGGGGCGCTCGCGGTGGGTTTTTTTTGTTTTGTTTTGTTTGGCGGGGCGGCGCTTGAGGGTTTTTTCTTTTCTCTTTTTTTGGCCGGGCAGCGCAGGGGGTGTTTTGGCGGCGCGGCGCTGGGGGGGGGGGGGGGGGGGGGGGGGGGGGGGGGGCCCCGGCCCGCGGGGGGGGGGGCGAGGCCAGGGGTCCGGGGGGTTTGGCCGGCCCGGCCCTCGAGGGGGGGCCCGGGGTTTGGCTGGCCTGGCGCTCGGGGGGGTTGGGCGGCCCGGCGTGGCGCTCGGGGGGGCGGGGGTTTGGCCGGTGCAGCGCTCCGGGGGTTTGGGCAGCCCGGCACTCAGGGGGGTTGGCCGGCCCGGCGCAGCGCTTGGGGGGTCAGGGGTTTGGCCGGCCCGGAGCTCGGGGGGTTTGGGCGGCCCGGCGGGGGGGGGGGGTCGGGGGTTTCAGCGGCCCGGCGCAACGCTCGGGGGGGCGGGGGCGGCGTGGTTCTGCGCCCGGCGCTCCGGGGGTTTGTCTGGCGCGACGCTGGGGGGGGGGGGGGTGTGTTACGGCAGGCGGCGCTCTTCTTTTTTGCCTGGGGCGGCAAAAAAGTTAGAGCCGGCCCTGGGCCCAAGGGAGAAAGGGAAGGTCTTTGAGCACCAAGCCTGAGGGAGCACGAATACAAAGAGGCAAGAAATGGGAGGAAAGAAAGGGAAAGCAGGCAGCAGAGAGGGAAGCAGCTGACAGGAGTCATTCCCCAGGCGTGCTCCTGTCTCCGGGCTGTGAGCCCCTGCTCGGCCCAAGTCCCTGGCTCACCCCCCACAGGACGTCAGGGATTCAGGGTGGCCCCAGCTTTCTCCATTTCTTTTGCCACCTGTGTTGTTCCCCATGTGAAATAAAGAGAAACCCACTCTAACCCCTTCTGTGTGCTCCGAGCTAGTTCCAGGACCTCTACCTGCCCACCCAGTGACCTAAACGGAGTCTCCTCCCCCAGCCAGCACCACTAAGCCAGAGTGGAGAGGGAGCAAGAGAGAACAGCGAGGAACGCAGGAGTCCCACCTCTCCACCTGGGCCTTCTCTGGGCTTGCCGCTTGCCCGGCAATAGCCCTGGGCCTCGGGGGGGGTTCCGGGCCACAGCTGCCTTCCCTGACAAGAAGGGGCTGCTGAGAGCATTAGGGTTTTAGATACTGCGGGGGGCGGGGGCATTGATTGCACATGCTGTTAATTACACAGTAGCTATGCCATATGGACAGGGGGGATTTGGGAGCTGACGGTCATGTCGCTGCTGCCGCTGCAAGCAGACCCCAGCTATGAAATCACACGGACAAAGGGGCTGCTCTGGGGGCTTCAAAACCACCTTTTTTTTTTTTTTTTTGGGGCTACTCAGCCAGCTGGGAAGCTAAATCTTCCTCCCACCCAGACCAGCTGGTTTGTGCTGGCTTGTTACTGCAGGGTTGCTCAAGAGGGCTGGAGCTGCTTCACCGTAACGCTGCTGCTTGCAGACCACCCAACACTGGGGCTGCGGGATGGGGGAAGAATGACACAGGCTTTGCAAACGAACACCAGGGCCATGCTGAGTGCAGGGCGCTCGGTGTCTAGCCGACCTGGGGCTTTTGCTAATTAACAGAGGGTCTATAATAGCACAAGGAATGCAAGAGACCCCAGTGCAATGTGAGGACAGGGTAAAGCACTTACCTGAGCACTTCAGAGCCACAATTCGCCCTGAAGCACAGCTGCTCCTGCACAAGAATAAAATCAGGGTTCGAAATAAAGCTCTCCCAGAACTCTGCAGCCAGGAAACACAGAGATGGCCCATCATGGGGTTCTATGGCAGCTCCCCTAGGAATGGCGACCGGCCAGATGCACCCAGGATGCCCAGAAAGTGGATTCTGATAGGAATAATCATCGCGCTCACAGAAGGCTTTTCAAACATGAGTTGGTGCGGGGCACCACATGTGCAACGACCCAGGTTGTGTTGCTGCGGCAGCAAAGCAGAGTTGTTCTAAGAGGGCTAACGGGCCTGCCTGAAGGTCGGGAAGTCAGCTATCCTGTTGGCACTGAGGGTATCTCTGGTCTGCAATCAGAGGTGTGATTGCAGCATGTGTAGACACACCCCAGTGCCTAGCTCAGGTACCATTAGCCGTGAAACACAGACCGTGCAAGCCCGTCTGGGACCCAGGGTCATTATTCTGGTGGCTAGTCTGTGCTGTAGTCCGCGCTGCCAAAGCTTTGCTGCTATAGGTACTCGCACTAGCTAGATCAAAGCTACCTCGGACATGCCCACACATGCTGAGTGTAGTGCAGACATCCCCGCTGTGTAAGCATCAAGCTGGCTGAAGTCCTATTTTAGCGGCATAACCGAAGCACCGAACACTGTGACCCTCCCGGCAGTTCTGGCTCCTGCCAGTGCAGTCGCTGGGCTATTTGTGTTTCCATTTGGCGTCATTTAGTTGCCAGCTCAGATTTTCTCCCTCCCTCCATATTTGCTGATCAGAGTCTATGCCAGCTGTGCAGAGCCTGGCAGTCACCTCCAGAAACATGGAGACTTGTTCTCAGACAATATAGCAGTGAAGGGCCCTTCTGTTCAGTCCCCCCAATGCCAGTCCTGCTCTCCCCAGCTCCGTCACCCACCTGACCTGCCACACGTCTTCAATGCTGCTCTTCTGGTTGGGCACAATCTGAACAAACTCTTGCGTATCATTCACCTTGACATCTGTCAGGTTCACTCCTTTGTGATGGGCGAGTCTGCAGAAGCAACAGCAAATGTCATCACCTAAACACAGAGAGAGATCTGAGAGCTCACCCGTGCTTCTGACATGACAGCATTCTTACGGGCACTTCCTTCCTCTCTTCTGCATAGAACCATTGTACTCTAGTTTATACATGCTAATTCTGGCCACTGCTCACAAGAGATGAAAGGGTTAAATATAATAGCCATCACCCACTGGAAGGACTAAGCCTTTACCCTGCCATGTTTCATGGAATCACACTGCTTAAACAGGAGGGCTACCAACTACAGACACACAAAAACAGGCTTCCACGCACGCAACTTGAGTTCCAGTTTTGTCTCTCTCATTTACCACGGGCAATGCCCTGTCTGGAACTTTACAGCACACAGGAACATCTAGTGGCTAAATAATAATATTGCAAATGAACATAACCCAGCCCTTACTTTACACTCTAACCCCAAAATCAGGAAATAGGTTTGCTTGCATCACTAAAGTATCTTTTCAGATGCTACCATCCCTTTGCTAGCCTTGCAGTGTCAACAGCGTATGAGTACAAAAGGAGAAAGTAATAATACTGTGTCCTTCGCTAACATCTTCCAAGTGAGGATCTCAAAACACGCTCCAAACATGAACGAGTTCATCCTCCCCTGGGAAAGAGGTGAATATTATGTTCCTTGTTTGAAAGATGAGGGAAATGAGGCACAGAGAATAGAGGTCACAAGGGAGTAGAGGAGGTACAATTAGAACCCAGGAGTCCTGCTTCTCATTTATGCCAGAAAACCATCCTCCTCATCTCTATGGTGATGTTCAGGGGAAATGCACAGCCACAGAACAGCAGTGGATAGGAGAACAGTGACATATCTGGGAGTGACTCTATAGACAGGGATGATATAAGGGCTTAACCCAACTTCCAGGGAAGCCGATGGAAAGATAATTCCACAGTCCATGATTCTGTAAGCTTGGGAAGCTGCTATAAAAGTCTTGGGAAATAAGCCCAAGCTACAGTACATCTAGCGTGGGTCAAAAAAATGCAGATTGTTTTTTTCCCCCACAGGAAATTTTTTCATTTAAAACAATATATCAGGTGAAAAAATTTAAATTTTGCAGTGAAAATTCCAACCCCCAAATGGTTTGATTTGGGGGGTTTCCTCCCTTTTCCAGTGGCAAAATAGAAAAAGGGTGAGAAATGGGACTGGCACAATGGGACCCCATTCTCAGATGAATCTAGGCCCCAGTATAATGCAAATGAATATCAGTAACTCTACGGTCCCTGGCTCCCAGTCCTGTGCTCTGATCACATTACTTCTGCAAGATCTTCATAAAAATGGCAAATCAAAGACCTGTACCTGAGACTGGCCGACTAGGTCTATGCTGAGAGGAGCATCACTTACTGGAGATATCCCAGCTGCCTACAGATCAGAGTCCCCAGGGAGAGATTCCACCGCTCGTGACATGCCAGGAGCCAGCCGGGCCTGCCTTCCACCTGCACTTCCAACAAGAAGTTTCCCGTGTTTATTCTGAAAGATACTAAAACCATTTTATTTAAAACGTCCTGCAAGCGTCCTTGCGACCAGCTCTTTGCAAAGGCCAAAGCTAAACACAATAAAGTCCCAGTGACTAGCGAGGGACGCGGGAAAGTCATTTACACCATTGTTGGTGTCACTGCTGAATTTGAACCACAGCTCACAATCTGCTCATCCCCCACTGGGGGTGGGGGGGTCAAAATCAGGGGGTCAGTAAGGAGGGGTCCAACTCCCTGCTCCTCTGCTCAGAACGGAGAGAGCTCCCCCTCCTCTCCCTGGCTTGGGTAAACAGTACTTCCTCCCCACTCCTCCTCCGCCTCCTGCTTTGCTCCCCTTTAACCACTGAGCTCAGCTGTCAAGTTGCTACTGTGATGCCACAGCCCCAGAGATTGGACCAGTCCACCCTGAGCTTGTACTGGGACCACCTGGTGCTTCTCAGCCAAGCTGAATGATGTCTTGCAGGATGAGGGTCCCAGTGAGGAAACCCTGGCCAGGCTGGGCATCCCCAACATCACGGAGGAGGAAACAAGTGCCGAGTTCCAGAACCAGATCGGTGTCTGAGCTCCTCCCCAACACAGAGTGACAGGAGATAGGCAACAGGGATCCCACTTGAGACCTCTAGATCTTACAGCCTGTGCTAAATGACCAGCTCTGCTAGCTCAAGGGCTGTAGCAGAGAGTGACAGAGCGCCCCACTGTGTAGGTGTGGGTCACATGACAAGAATTAACAATCCCACCTTCAGACACCCCAGGGAGTGCTGCTTGAAAGGGGGCAGGGAACCCCTCTCCATAGTCTCTGGTTCCCATTATGTCCACATCAGGCACTTTAGGGTTTGTGCAGCCCTTT